TATAGATATAAATATGTAGAGAGAGAGAGATTAATATTTTACATTAATCTATATATATAAATATATATACATGCATGTATCCAGACAATACATGGAACAAATAAAACCCCAAAATAATTACTGAAGTAAAGAAAAACTCGCAATACAAATGAAATGCACCAGCAACACAAACCAAAAAATGACACTAACAAAAGATGTTCCCATATGAATTTTAGAAAAGACGGAATTGCTGCCTTCACAAGATCTTTGCAGCAAACTTTCCCAGCCCGAGAAGTTTGTTCCTTTGGAAGAATGGGGAACTCTTTCCCTTGGACAGTGGTCTCTTTGTGGGTCCAGTCTTCTAGAGATGCCTTCGTTAAAGAGGAACTTGATTTTTTGGACCCAACTGTCTCCTTCTCACTGGGAAGATTGGCACAACTGTCAAAGAGATAAAGAGGAAGTGAAGAGATGATGTATAGAAAAAATAAAAAACACAAATAATCACTAAAGTAAAGAGAAGCAAGCATTAAAAATAAACAGCAAAAGAAAGACAAACCAAAAAACAACAATAACAAAAGTTCCTTTAACGTTTTGAGAAAACGCGTGATTTCCATCTTCTTTGTGAGATCTTCTTTGCAGCAAACTTCCCCAGCCGGAGAAGTTTGCTCTTTGGGAAGATTGGCAAAATTGTTCCCTCGAACGGTGCTCTCTTCTTGGCTCTCTTCTTGGCTACAAACTACCCCAGCCGGGGAAGCTTGGTTCTCAGTTGATGCAGGCTCCTGAAGAACCTCCCCAGCCGTGGAAGGTTGAAAAAGAAAGGCATCATACTCGGACTCGGTGCCCTCTTCCTTAGAGCTACCTGTGTCTGAATTTTTACCTGGAAATACTTTATCGCAAACCTTCTTCATCCCTGTCGTAACTAAATAGCCAATGGCAAAACTCAGGTGAAAAAACATGTTGACTAATGGTTGTCCGTACTAAAAATCTTTGAAAGTGTTGGTGTTCGAAGAGCTGATTCTATATGAACTGATGTTTTGAAATACAAGCATTCATAACCTCAGAAGTTCTGTAATCTTTTTACCACATCACAGATGAGGTCATAGCTACAATGAGGTCACTGTAATTCTGTAGTTCTTGCTTCTGCTCATTGCTATGGAAACGATCAGATCAGTTCTGCATAACCCAAGCTACTGACCCTTTGCAACTGCGTCACTTAATCATTCGAGGCGCCATGATGGACGTCGGAAGTGAAGGATTGGAGAACAGAGCGATCAATAGTTTTTCAAAGCTGTTTGGAGTCGGTGGGTTTTTTTTTATTAAAAACCTGAAAATTCCCACAGCGGGAACCTTTTTTTTTTTTTTTTCATCCAGACGGCTCCCCCCCCCCTCCCCACAATGGCATGACGCCCCCCAACCCCCAACAAATAGTTAGACACTATTTGTTAGTGTCAAATAGTAACTTGGTGCCTGTGCGTTTTATAGTAATGCCTGAATATGGCGAGTTTAGCGGAGTCGGGCTGCAGCAGCAGCATGCTCTCCTTCCCACCATCAGTACTGCTGATAAAAAATAATGTTGAGATGTTCTGGTCAGTAATTACATCAGATGATTAGTTCATCAGAGCAAGCTGTGATCAAGACTCCACAGATTCAACTTCCACACCAGCCTCTTTGTGGGTTCAAGTGTTTCATGTCGGCAGATGATAAAATACTAGAGCAAGCTTTGAAATATAAATAACTCATCTATTACTTAGCAAACCCAATCTGTGCTGCAGAGAATGTAAATTAAATCAATTCTTCTTTAAACATTTATTTTTAAGCAGTAAAGATGCTTTATTCCGCAACTATTCTTTAGCGAGGACATGGAATCTGGTGGAGGGTTGATGGGAAGTTGGATGGAACTAAATACACAAAAACCGTGAAAAAGGCTTGTTAGAGGCTGCAAAAGATTTGGATCTGATGAAAAGTTATTTTTTCAGCTGGGAAATTACCCTAACCATACAGGCAGATCTACAAAAATGTCTTAGGTCAAAGCATATTAATGTGTTAAAATGACCCAGTCAGTGTCCCGACTGAAAGGACATTAAGAATCTAGGGTGAGACTTGAAAATGAAAAATATATATATTTAATACTCACCATCCAATCAGATGGAGCTTAAACTCAAATATTGCCAAAACATGGGTATATGACGTGAAAGGTGGTTCTACAGAGTATCGTCTCAATGAGGCTAAATACAAATGAATGTCACTGTTTTTGTGCTTTTAAAATATTTTGAAAACGGTTTTCTAAATTTTAAGTTGTTCTTGGAAATTTGTAATGTTGTTAGCATTCGTTTCCCTGTACAGTGTAGTATCTTGCGTTTAATGTTTAATGACATTGTGTCTTGTCTGTTTGCACAGACAAGTCTCAGAAGGCGTGTGGAAGACCCCCGAAGACCTTTCCAGTCAATCCCAGAAGAGATCAGACGACCTGAGCCGCAGCTCTGACCTGGACATCCTGAACAGTCCTCCTCTCAGCCTCAGTGACCTGAGCACCAGCGCCGGTCTGGCCAACTGGGTGCCCCTGTCCTCCTCTGCCAGCGAAGCCGACACCTCCGGTCCTGAGCAGGACGTCCAGTCCTCCATGACCTTCAGAAACCGAGTCCTGGATGAGCTGCCCAGTCGGCGCCCTGCAGACAAAGCCGTGTCTGCTGAAGTCAGACTGGTAACACCTCATCATGTTCATTTCTCTGCTGTGAACAGAAATATATTTGCCACTTATTCTGCTGCCAGATGGCAGATATTCATTTACATTTAACATTATATCTGAAAGCTCTTAAATCTGTTACTCAGACCCCCGTCACACACGAGCAGATGGTTACTTATTCCATTTGTTGGGGCAGCATTAGAAAGCGAGCTCCATATATCCTGCCAATAATTTCATGTTGTTGTTTTATTTATCTGTTAGGCGGCCGAGCGGGACTGGGAGGAGAAACGTGCCAGTTTGACCCAGTTCAGCGCCCAGGACATCAATCGCCTGCTGGAAGAAACCCAGGCGGAGCTGATGAAGGCCATCCCAGACTTGGACTTTGCTGCCAAGCACATAAACAAACCGGCAGTGCCCCCCAAACCTCAGATTACCCTCCCAATAAGCTCCACCATAGCTACTTCTTCAGCTGCTGGGAGCACTGGGACCACAGCCACCTCTACGTCCAGTGGGGAGCAGCAGCCTGGCAAGGTGCAGCTCGCTGCTCAGAAGCTCAACAGCATGGAGGGTGGCGGCTCACATCGAGGGTCTGGTGAGTTGTGCAGATTTTACCCATCAACTGTGCAGATAAACGGATCATTTATGAAATGAATCTTATGGTCTTTTCTGATTTTTACAGTGGACCTCAGTGTAGCCAGATACAAAACGGAAAAACCGTCCAAGTCTCCTCCGCCACCTCCCCCTCGCCGAAGCTTCCCGTCGGCTCACGGCCTCACCACGAACCGGACCGGAGAGGTGATCGTCACCAGCAAGAACCAGAAGGTGAGACTCAATGGTTTGATATTCACATCAGCTGTGAAATCAGACCATTAAGCAAATGTATTGTTCATAATAAACAGCAAATATCTTCTAAAGGATAATATCATCTTTGCATTGAGTCAACTGACCTCAGCGATCACTTCTACATGTTAATGTTTTGACAGCGTTTCTTTTACAAGCATGTAGTGACAGTGGTCAGTTGATTGAGTTATCTTTGGAGTGATCCCTCATATTGAGGATGCATGTAGTGACAGTAGAGAGGAAAGTATCCATTGCAGTTTCCATTGAAATGTGCTGATCCCCACAAGAGATGCAGTTCTGCAAATGTTCCCAGGTCAATCATCCACTCATCACAATTTGTTCAGCTGCTGTTTGATATATGCTGCCCATTATTGAAAGAAAAATATTACAACTGTCAGTCATAATGTCATGCCAGACTCGTGTGGCTACATACCAGACCAGTCGTTTCTGAGACACCACTGAATCAAACATAAGATGTCTTACCGCAGGGATGCATATGAACCCTGCAGGACTAGATACACACCACAGAAGGTTTGACTGGCTCCGTTTTGTGTGTATAGATCGAAGAAGATGGCGACTTGCCAAAAACTCTGGTGAAGCTAAGAAGGACCCCCTCAGACACACCCCGGCCAGCCTCCACTCCACCTGTGATCGCCGCCTCGGCCATTCAGGACGAAGATGATGAAGAGAAGATTTTCGCTGAGCTAGAGGTAGAACAGTTGTTAAACTGCTGAGTTTTTTTTTTTTTTTTTTTGCCTCTTCATATTCCAAAATGTTCTCACCACATTATTTCATACATTAAAAGATATTTCAGAGAACACCTGTAAAAGATTCCCCCAGTAGTAAACAGAGCAGCAGCCAACCAAAGGCCCCCCCTCCATGCGTCTTTGGGTCGTTGGGCAGAAAGGTAAAACCTCAAGCTGCCACTTGCTGCTGCCACACTCCTAGATCCGGTTCTTCTAACTTTACTCTATTAACTACCGTTTATTTCCTACTTTGCTCATTCTTCCATGCAGACTAAATACAAGTCTTGAGAGAAGAAATGAAAAGAAAATGGAAAAACACGTCAGCTTGAACGTAATTAGAAATGTGCTTTTTGCTTGCCCTTTGCCTCAAGATCTGTGTAGGTTTCTGGCTTCTATTCACAGAGAAACATTAATTTATCCAGTCGTCAGACTGTGAAGCAGAAAAACACTGAGGAGAGAAATTGGTTATTAGTTTGTCTTTCAGACGTCGGAGTAAATCTAGTTTGAACATACGCCTTGGTTCATTTCCCCAGAATTTACTGAGCTGAATCAAATTTACTTTTGCTGCTAAATGGAGTAACAATTGCACAGAAGGTTAGCTGAAGAAGTGATACAAGCGGGGTTGGGGGAGCCTATTAACTTTTGTTGGACAAAAACAAAAGTGAATGATGACATTCTGATCCTCATTTATAAAGGTTGTCGCTTTCTGCTTTTTATTGCCAAACGAGAGGCATCCAATTCAACTGCTGATAGTATCATGGTTAATAGTCTGCACAAAACTCTCAGTGCTTTGGGAGTTTTGTGCAGACAACTTATGCAACTGATAAGTTGAAGACTCATAAAAATTAGGCTTCTGATTTGTTTAAAATATATTTTACCTTAAAATGTATTAGATTCAATTCTCGATTAAAACATTGCAGCAAAAAAGAAAATACATTTTTAATTTACATTAAGTTACATTACAGTGGAATTACTGCACATCTATCGGTATCTAACTAAATTTACCTCAGGAATTGAAAATATCTGTACAAGTTAGTCCCTAGATGTGCTCAGCTGTTAGTCATGTTTCCAGTCACTTGTCATTGAGACTTTTATTGTGAAAGTGCGAGATTCTATGTCACAGAAATTTATTTTAGAGGAGGACAGAGAACATGATCTCGAAAAGACTCCAAACAACCTGCTATGTTTATGTCTATGTTGTTGTTTTTATCCAAGTGGTACAGTGAATGATTACGTAAAAAAGCCATATTGTCCAATAAATTTCAGTTCCTGCCCAACTCAGGTGTCACAAACTCCTCTTCCCTTATATCTGAGGAAGATTTTTTTTTATTTATTTGGATAAATACTACATTACAATAACAAAATAATCCTGTGTGAATATTTTTTTTTACACAAAAATCAAAACCCAGATTTTTAGCTTTATCCCAATGTGTCTGAGTTAGCGTGCAGTAGTTGTACATCAATGTGCCCAAATAAACCTGTTTGCACAAAAAACCAGGGGGGGAAAACCTCCAAAAACAGCCTTCAGTTTCTCTGACGTGTTCAGCTGAGTAAAGAGGTTTTGTTTTTCTGCAATTATCTCCCGACTCCACCAGGCAGGTAACTGTCAAAATAAAAGATGTTGAGGATTTTAGGCTCACAGTAGCAGTTTTTTTTTTTTTTTTTACATGCAGGTAGGTTTAAGATTCACACCCTGTTTTCAGAGCTGCTTCTAACTGATGATTAATGTCAGCTGAAATGACAGCCACTAAAATTATCTTAATGTGTTTTTATCCCCAAGGCACAAGGCTGTCATTTCTTCCCCTGAGTTGCTAAATGAAAACAAATTTAAAGCAAGGGAGGAAGGTTGGAGAGCAGGGTTTCTGCACAGTTCAACTCTTGTAGGAGAGTTGGAAATTGAAGTATCTATATTTTTTTTAGCTTTAAATAAGTAAGGGAAAATATTTGCCCATTTCTTTCTCCAAGTAATTTATCCATCTATTAGTTTATCAATCTGTCCTACCATCTGTCCATCCACTCACCAGTTTGCTTGCTCATCCATCCATCCATCTGTCATTCTCTTTGTCTATTTGCTCATCTGTTTGTCCATCCATTCATCTATCTATGCAACTTATTGAGATGGTGTGACAGTGTTTTGCTGCTCAAAAACGCTCCAGTGTGGGTGAATTAAAACAACTTTGCAAAGTAAAGTGGGACGAAATTCCTCCAGAATTATATATAAGATATACAAGACTCTTTGTCAAGTATTTAGTTTTATTACACCAAACTGAATGTAAGGATGTCAATTGTTTGACTATTTTTGGACTTTTGGACTTGATTTTTACAGACATCTGATGAAAATTTAAATTGTCAATTGAACCGTCGAAAAAACATTCACTTAGAAAATCACTACTTGTATCTGTTGTATGAAATTTTTACTGAGGGGAGAAACATTTTTGCAACACTGTAAAAATGTAAATCCCAAGAAAATAAAAATAAAAATTATAGCAAAATCTAGACTTATTTCATGTGACTGAGGTCAAACTGTTGTGTTCACATCCAAAGAGACTTTAAAAAGAAACTGGAAGAAGAGTTAAAAGGAAATAAACAATAATAAAAAAAAAAAATCTAAGAAAGAAGTGGCAACAATTCATTAAATTTTTGCTGTAAATTTTTTGTAACACCGTTTCCAAGTCATTCTGTAAATAGTTTCCACATTAGTGCAATGTTATCAAGAGGCTGTCACTCTGTCTTGTTAAGATCAGGTTTTCCAGAATGGCTTAATAAAACAACTTGCTCCTCTTCCCCCACAGAATAGCAGTAACTCGCCAGGACCAACGAAAGGTCCCACCGTCGCAGCCCGACTCAAACACCTTCAACAGGGCAGCCTGGAGAGACCAAAAACCCGCAAGCAGAAAGAGGATTTCCCCAAAGTCCAGGGCCAGCAGCAGGTATTCCACTTCTAACCCCTCTGACGCTCCGCCTGCCTCTCCTCTCTGCTGTCACTTCAGAGGAAGCTCCGCCTCTTTGTCCCAGAAGACTCTGTGAGGGAGCACAAACTGATTTTCACCTCCTCCTCTTGTGTGTTTTAATGTTTTGGGGTGGCTGGATTTGGACGAGCTTGTGGAAGCATCAAGTTTTTGTCCAGTGTGTTAGATTTCTTTCTTTTTTTTTTTTTTTTTTTTTTTTTTTTTTTTCCCCCCCCCCCACACCTAAATTTCATAAAAAAAAATTTTTTTCCCCCTTCTTTTTAAAACTTTTCC